CCGCCACTTGACTGAAATGTACTGCTGGGAGAGGCTCCTCAGGACCCCCCAGAATGAAGAGCTGGGCCTATATTGAAACTTAGGAATGTCGGGAAAATATATGCTACAAATGTAGAGTAGGGGAAGTGGAAGACAGCCAGTCTGGGTGATGATGAGGCCAGTCAGGATCATGGAAAAAATCATTATCGGGCCGTCTCTGCCTACAGGGGACATATAGCATGGGGTCGGGGTGGGGGGGTGGAAAACAGGGGGGAGGGAGGTAGAAATGTAAAAAGTATGTGGGGATCCTTCCCATTCTAATTCGTAGTTAAATGTAAATGTATTTTTTATTCCATGCACGGCCTACGTGGTAGTTCTCTTTCTTAGGCACTTGTATAAACAAATGTTCATTGTGAAGAAAATACAGTTTGGGAAATGGCTCTTTCTGATCTAGAATCTGTGTCATTCAGTTCAGTTAGTGGAACCTGTCATTCAGGTTCAATTAGTGGAAAGAGACTTGGACCCAGATAGAAGGTTGAAATGGCATGCTCGGTGACACACTTGAGCACTGTCAGAAATTCTCTGTCTCCATTCCCCTGAGCTCAAAATTAGAGACAGTAGTGCCTCCTTGAATATATCTCAGTTGTGAAGTTTAGAGGTATTGAAACTTGTGTGTGTTTTTTTTTTTTTTCCTTTTCCTTCAAAACCCCTGCCTTTACTTGTATATCCCCAGCACCACTGAAGGTCAAGGAACAAGATCTATCCTAAAACTTGTCTGAAATGAGCCAGTTAAAATGTAATGTCGTGCGCTATCTACTCTGAGCCAGCTGCTGAAGTATTCAGGCTGCAGAGTAGAATGTGTGCCTGCGGGGGGTCATCTCAGGGCTGTCAGTGGTAGGGAAGAGTCGACAACAACCTCCATCAGTGCCTGGCTGGTTGGTGGTTTTCTTTCCAGTTGCCATTGAGTCGATTCTGACTCATGGTGACCCCACGTGTGTCAGAGTGGAACTGTGCTCTATCAGGTTTTCAGCGGCTGATTTTTTAGAAGTAGATCCCCAGGTCTTTCCTCTGAGGTGCTTCTGGGTGGACTCGAACCTCCAACCTTTCGGTGAGCAGCCAAGCACGTTGACTGTGTACACCATCTAGGGGCTCCTGGCCCTCGGTAGACCGCCAGTGTTACTGACAGAGTGAAGTGAAGTAAATATCCAGCAGTGTAGTGCATCCGTGTCGTGGAGAGTTAAGCCAGCATGGATAAGGGTATGAGTCCATGTTTGTGCTGTGTATAATATGACCTCATGTATTTAAAACAAAAAACAAAACCACCTGCCTGAGTGTATTTGGGCGAGCTGCAATCGCCTCCTGATCTCCTTGTGTTCGTTCTTGCCGCTCTGTAGTCTGTTCGCCACATAGCGTCCAAAGTGAGCTTTTTACAAACACGAGTCAGACGGTGCCGCTCCCCTGCTGAAAGTCCCCCACTGCCTGAGACGCCAGTGGAGCTCCCCGTGGCCTGCAGACCAGGGGTGATGGCCCCCTGGCCACCCCTCCCACCGCCTGCTCTGGCTCTGGGCTCCGGCTCTGGGCTCCGGCTCTGGGCTCCTCTCCGTTCCTACCCCAGGCCAAGCTCACTGTGCCTGGAGGCCCTTTATCTAGGTCCCATCTGCCCAGAATGGCCTTTGCCTAGAACTTCATGTGGCTAGTCTGCCTGGATGGGAACTCAGCTCAGATACCTTCCGCTGAGTGAAGTCCCCTCCGTCCCCTCCCCAGGTTTTATCACATCCTGCTGTTGTCTTTTCTTCACAGCTCATGACCATTGGAAACTATTTACTTGTTTGTGTTGATTTTCCCCAGGGAAACGTAAGCACCCTGAGGGCAGCGGCCTTGTCAGTCTTGTGTATCAATCACTCTGCAGACGATCAAAGAAGAGTCAGTAAATAAATGAGAAAAAGCCCAGAAGGATGCACCCCAAGATGTTAATGGTGATTAGCACCAGGCCAATTTGAGGTGTTTTTCTTTTTGTTTGTTTTGCTCATTTGCTAACTTTTCTGCAGAGATCACGCATTACTTTCTGAAACAACAACAAAAACTGGTTGCCGTCGAGTCAGCTCCAGCTCGTGGTGACCCCGTGCGTGTCAGGGTAGAACTGTGCTCCAGGGGGTTTTCAATGGCTGATTTTTTGGAAGTAGCTCGCCAGGCCTCTCTTCCAAGGAGCATCTGGGCGGATTCAGACCTCCAACCTTTGGGTTAGCAGCTGAGCGCTAACCACGCAGGGACCCATTACTTGTGCAGTTCTTTGTAAATTACTCAGATACTTAGCTGGGTTCAAAGAAGTGGTTTAGAGGATTGTGGACAATTGCAGAGAATGTGTTATCTGCATACTCAGTGCACCAGCACAGTACCTGCTGTGCAGTGGGAGCTGAATAAATGTCTGCTGAATCTTTATGCTAATGGGAGACATCCCCTCCAAAGCTCTGTGGTTAGCTGCCCACCAGGTCTTTGGGGAGGAAGCATGTGGCGCACATCAGGGTGCAGATGTGCCCAGTGCTTTGTCTTCCAGGTTCTGGCCCTCATCCCTGGGGCTGCTGCCCAGCAATCACAGAGTTATTTGGCTCCAGGGAAAATCCATTACAAACAGCAGCACACAGGGCACTAGGGTGTGATTTGTTTCAGTACACACTGCTGTTTTCCAAGATAATGTGGAGCCTTTAGCTCTAACTGAGAGACGGTGTGAACTGTCTGCCTGGCCTGTCTTCTTCCAGAAAAAACCCACAGGAGAGTGTATCCTTTCCAAGTCACCCAACTTTAACAGTAATGTGGCCAGTAGTAATTCTTTTTGCTAATAGTTTATATTCTCAACATTTAATAGACATAGCAGTTATGGCCCCAAAATAGAAGAGTTTTTTTCTTGTTTTTTCGGTTTGTTAAAGGCTGACCTGAGAAATCAGCTGTGTTCGTTCATTTCAGTGACGTAGAGCACTTCTTTGGGGTGCTGGATTCTTGAGTGGTCTAATACATTAACAAAAGCAGGTTCTCCTCAGCTGTGTGACTGGGTGGTTAAAGTGCCAGCTCCTTTGTGAAGTCCCTATGTTTTAACTTCAATGTTACGTTCCAGAAATCTGTGCAGATTTGGGGGTAGGGGAAGAAATCCAAAAGTAAAAACCTTGGTAAATAATTTAGAAACAGAAAGAAGCTATTACCTCAGATATCCAGATCGTCTGTGTTCACTTGGATTTCCATCGTTACACATTCAGGCAAAGGTTCGGTTAGCACCAGAGCCCTGAAAGATAATGTGCATTTCCTACCCAGGTAGCTTTAGTCTGACTGATATTTTCTAAGTGAATAGCTAAACGAAGAGGGAGGAAAACATGTCTTATTATTATTAGAAATGCTAGGCAGTTTATAGGAAAATATTTTTTCTTCACTGCTCTTCAAGAACGGTCGTGTGAGAAGTGCACCAAGAGTTTATGTTCAGAACCCCTCGTGGTAGGGAGCGGCAGTCCAGACTGCTTCTGGAGCAGTGCCCAAGTACAGGGGTGGGTAGATTATAGAGCAGCGCCCAGGTGCACGGGCGGTTAGATTCTAGAGCCGTGGCCAAGTACATGGTTAGATTCTAGAGCCGCACCCAAATACACAGCTGGTTAGATTCTAGAGCAGCGCCCAGGTACGCAGTTGGTTAGATTCTAGAGCAGTACCCAAGTACACAGTTGGTCAGAGCTCTGTTCTACCTGAAGATAGGTGCTGCTTAAAGAAACCCTCTGTGTTCTGTGACGTGGGCTCATTTCTGGTTGCATCTGGTTGTAAGAGCTCTGTGTAAAGCTGAGATGGGGTAACCTGTATGGCTCTGAGGTCTCCTCTCCCCTCAGAGATCTTCTTTGGTTTACAGAGTTGCCTCATTTCTCTGACTCCCCGCCCCCAGCCCACTTTCGGCTTCCTAGAAACGTGGTATGCCCAACACAGCCACCCCAGGATACTCTGAGTAAAAGGTGACTTGGGTCGTTGGAACAGTGCCCCCTGAAAAAGCGACTCTGTAGTGTGTGCAGGTAAATGCTGCCTGGTGTGAGAGCCAGGGAGAGAGTGGGATGGATCCAGTGACACCAAGCGCCAGACGGATGCCGCCTGCTTGGCTAAAAGACCCAGCAGTAGGGCCAGCTATTGTGAAGCCCCTCCGCCAGATGAACAGAGACCCTTCTCTGGTCACAATAGCCATTCACGCGGAGCAGCCTCATTAAATATTCAGCCTGTGCTTCCGGCAGCTCATTAGGGCCGCGGTGAGCAGTGACGGGAATGCTGGAAAGCCGAGGGCAAGACAGCATCAGCAGGCAGGGGTTGAGCGAGGTGCCGATGGCTTTGCTGTTCACGGGCAGCCCTGTGATGACCGGCGTCTGCTCCCTCTTTTGCTTGAAGTCCAGGTAAAAACAGAACCAAACAAAAACAAGCAGGTGACATTCGAGGCTTCAGGTCCTGTCGCAGAGGCCGTCTGCTGGGGCCTCTGATTCGGAGAGCTTGCTGCTGGAGGCCCTCCGACCCCTTGAAAGAACTGTCTGCAGCTTCTGGGACCTTTGCTAAGCACCTGACAATGTGGTGACAGGGTACTTGGGCAGTTGGACGACTGCATTTGGGGGGTTTTGAGGTGTGGTTTTGAACTTGGTGTGGGGGGTTAGAATAGCACATTCTTCTTCTGTAAATTGTAAACTTGACGGGTATCGTGGGGTAATCTAGCAGCGAGTGCAGCGAGTTTACCCATCTCTGCCAAGTTTCCATGTGTTTGAGCAGTTCGTTAGGAAGCCTTTTCCTCTTAACTATCAGGCTGGATACAGGACGATAAAAAATAGATATTCTGTAGCTCTTTGGGGTTCTTGCAGTAGGCTAAATGTTGTCCTTGAAATCTGTTACTTCTCCATGGGTTTGCACTCATTGCTGTGTGATGTTTAAAGTGGGAAAATCTGGGAAAGAAGGGTTGGAAATAATGAACTCAAAGTGGATTTCTCTGGACTCACTGTTGCACCTCTTTCTTTCCTCCACAGAAAATGTTTTCAGACAGCTCATTTCTATGTGGAAGATAGCAATTCACCTCGGGTGGTCCCCAATGAAAGTATTCCTATTATTCCTATTCCGGGTGAGTAAGACACTACTCTTTTTTCCAGTGGGCTAATTGTTTTCCTCTTTCTTCTGGGTTATGTGTGACAGCTGTGACAAAATATTGCTTTGATAGCCTTTTCCGTTTGCCCAGTCTGAGAGATTCTAAACTGAGGGTAATTTAATGAGAAATCTGCTCATTTACAGATTTGGAAAGTAATGCAGTCTTCTTTAAGAGGAAGAAACAACGCAGTTAATGTAGTATGGATTCACGTGCAGAGAAGGGAAGTAGCACAGGAGAAAACAAAACCATTAAAACATGCACATATTTGCAGTCCACTGGGACTCCATTTCATTTTGACAGTTTGTGCTTGCTTCTGAAACTACTGTCTTTTTTTGAAGGAGTGTTCTAGGATTTCTTACTCTGAAAATAATTTATCTTAGTTTCAGAGTTTTTGGTTCTTAGCACGTTTGTGTTGAAGTCTTTGGATACATTGTGTGTCCAGTGTGCGTATCATTTGTAAAACACTCAGTTAGATTAGGGGTTGTGAAGGGTGGAGTACACTGTGGTGAATCCTAATGAATGCAGTCAGCACTCAGGAGTCCAGCAGCGGGTTAGATGTGACAAGATGTAATAAGACATAGGATATGAAGGTGAGCTCCACCTTTTTTTTTTTTAATTTGGTGTCCCTTCCCTTTTGCCAGAGCCAGATTTGAACCTCTCTGTGCCTCTGGGTTTCATTATGTGCTTCTAAATACTCGTCTCTAGAGAACTTAGACATTCACCCTCCCGACGTGAACTATCCTTCTGTACACTGAGGCACCGCTTTCCTGTGGGCCACCCTCCACACCCACAGCTCTCCCTGTCCCACGTGCCTCCTCATTCTCCTTACTCCCTGTCACCACCTCATAGATTGCGTAGGTGTTTATATCTATTGTTGATACCTTGTCTGTCTTCCCCCGGCCCACAGAATGAGAGCCCCATAAGGGCAGGGATGCGTCCTCAGTGCTGGGATAATACCCGGCACATAGTCGGTTCTCTATAACTGTTTATTGAATAAGTGAATGAATGAATGAATGAGAAGGGTCAGAAAACCTTCCTGAAAGTTCTTACAGGGCCCTGGCTGTGAGGCTCCGCGGTCCAGTCACTCTCTGTGTACCAAGAAGAAATACTTCTGTTGTTTGCTGGCGTGTAGCAGGTCTTCACCATGTGTGGTTATGGTTTGCAGACTTTAATTAGCCCTTTATGTGTCTGTTTATATTAAGTTGTGAGATATTTCTGGTGAGCTTCTCTCCCTGAAATTTGTCACACGGAAACAAGAGGGGCGACAGAATAATCTCTGATTAAGCTCCTGTTGGACCATTCCGTGGCTGCTAAATGATTCCCATACACATGGGAGCAGTTTTGTATTCTGTATATTCTTCTCCACCTGCCCTGGCCCACCAAGGGGTGGAAGAAAGTGCACTCTGGCCTCTGAGAGGAGAGGGAGCAGATGGGGACCATCGTTCTCCCCCTGGGGTGGAAGTCATTTTGTTGAATCTATAGTATTTGTAGGATTTGCCGTTTGCTGGATTTGCACAATAACGAGTGTATACTCATTGTCTTCTCTCATCACTTAGGATTTGTGTTGACCCCTGGAAAGTGCTTGGGAGCCTCTCTTGTCTCTTATAACCATTAGCTCATCTGTTGACAAACACAGCTGCTAGGGAGCTGAGCAATTGAAATCTATTTTAAAAGGTTAAATGGAAATGGGGTCTTTCCCTTTTTTTTTTCCCCTCTATTACTGGATTAGGAATCAGGAAACCCAGACTCTTGCCCCACCTGTATGTACCAGTCATGAGAGTTTTGACCAATGTCTAGCCTCTCAGAGCCTTAGCTTCCAGAACTTGTAAAATAAGCAGGAAGCTGCCTCCTGCCACGTTGGGCAGCCGTATAGACAACAGGAGAGGACGTGTGTAAAAGGACCTGGGAAGGCATATTGCAAGCCAGAATCGTAACCTGTTGAAATCTTCCTTTCCAAATCATGGTACTGTTAATCCCAGTGGTCATGTAATTTTAACTTACACTGAAATGAGGGCAAGTGTATGTTAGAATTATTGGTAACATAACCACATCCACCTGGGGTGGGCCACCTCCCAGGGCTCTTGTTTGACGTGGGCTTTAGAACTTTCAATTCCCTGGAAACTTCAGGAAACTCTATGAATTACACCCGCCTTGTCACACCCCCTGAGTAGGTGTCTTAAACCAGAAATGCTTTTGGATGCTTCCCCCTCCACTTCACAGCTGCCCGTTTAATTACCAAGTATAAAAACTCACAACCCAAAAGACGTTTCCTTAAATGTATGTTTTTCTCCCTTTTCAGTCAGTTTCTCTGAATTCTTACTCATTGTTAGTGTAAGTACATGGGAAGGAAATGTCTTCACGCTTTCTCCTCTGATTGCGAAATCCGTGGGGTTACTTGTACCTGCCTCCCTTTCAGCAGCTGCATCTTGACGAGTTGTCACACATTTGTACAATGAGTGAGTTTCGTGCTGTAAGGCAGTGTGCTGTTCAAGGACTTGCTGAGTGAAATTGTGAGTGATCCTGTTGTTTCTCTGTTTTCTTGGGTTTTCATAGATAGTGGAGACTTCACAGGGGTACTTCTGGACAAATACGCTTATTTCACCCTTAAGCGGGAAAGAGTTACCCTAAGTGACTTTCCTTTACGAGTTTTGGCTGGATCACAATCTCTTGTTTTTCATAAATAAAAACCCACGGTCGCATTTACTAATTACAGGCAGTCGCCGGGTTCCTAACTGTGTCTTTGAGACAAAGTTGTAGGGAAGTCAGAACAGGGGCATACGGTTCTTATTTAGCGCAAGGGAAGGCACGAAGCCTTTTCAGTGGTTTCAAAGCTGCATGTGCAGCATGTAAAGGTGATCATGCTGAAGAATATGTTGTGAGTCGGGGCTGGTTCAGTCGTTTCAAAGTGTGGGCAGATTTACCTAATGTTAAAGGGCAGTAGAAGTTGTCCTGTAAGTTCGTAACCCAGAGATTGCCAGTACTTACATTTGTAAAACATTTTGTAATTTCTGAAGCACTTAAACAATTCACTCTTTGTATTCTTAAGGTTTCTTCTGGCTAGAGCTGCACAACTGTATGTTACATAAGAAAATTCAACGTAAGGAAAACAGTTTTGTATAAATTAGTGAGTTATTTTCACTCTTTTAAAGCTTTCACCACCACTTCCCTTTAATGGAGACCTCTGTGGGGCCGTTCTAAATGATTTACCTTAGGAATTTTCTAATTGTTCTTATTTCTAAAAATAGTAGGATTTTTATAAAGCTCAGATGGAATACCTATTCTGCCCACTGCATCTTTTATAGTTTATCCTTGTTCAAAACCTAGTAAGAGTGAGTAGCGTCTGGGGTCTTAAAAGCTTACGAGCAGCCATGTAAGATACATCTACTGGTCCCAGCACGTTCGGAGCAAAGGAGAATGAAGAAAACCACAGATACAATGGAAATATTACTCCAAAGGACTAATGGATCACAAGTACCACAGCCTCCACCAGCTTGAGCCCAGAACAACTAGATGGTTGCCCAGCTACCATCACCCACTCTGACAAGGATCATAATGGAAGGAAGGTCTCGGAGAACAGTGTAGAACAAAATTCAAATTCACACGCGCACAAAAAGACTGGACTTAATGGTCTGACAGAGACTGGAAGAACTCCCCAGACCGTGGCCCCCGGACACCCTTTTAATTCAGAACTGAAGCCACTCCCGAAGTTCACCCATCAAGGCAAAAGTTAGACAAAAAATAAAACAATACACGTGAGGAATGAACGTTTTAGTTCAATCACGTATATGAGACCAAATGGACAACACCTCCCAAAAGCGCAGACGAGAAGGCAGGAAGGGACAGGAAGCATGGACAGATGGAAACAGGGAACCCGGATGGAAAGGGGGAGAATGTTGACCCGTCACGGGGATTGCAACCAATATCACAAAACAATTAGTGTATAAATTGTTGAATGAGAAACTAATTTGCTCTGTAACCTTTCAGCTAAAGCACACACACACACACACCAAAAAAAAAAAAACCCTAATAAGACCAAGACTGGTCTCCAGATTTATCAACTTATTTTATCATTTGAACTCCTCTTTTTCTACAATTGATTTAAAAAAAAAAAATGCAAAGTATTTCCAGACAACCGCCAGTAAACGGAACCATGACAGTGTTTAAAAATGTGTGCCACAAGGTGACATTAAAAATTCAAGTACCAAAACTGTTGGAAACTAGAGCCGCTGGGTCATCATTGTAGAATATGTAATATACTCTCGTTCTTAGAACTTAGTTGACACTGAACCTTAATTGTTTTAGAAAACATCATCATCTAATATTTAATGAGCATTTACCAACTAAATGATTTATTTTCACTACATTCCTGTCAAGACAGGTGCAATTAACGTCACCATTTTACTGATGAGAAACGGATGCTCGGAGACAATGTTTCGTTGCCCTAGGTCAGGGAGCTCAGGGATGGTGCTAGCACTGGACTCCTCTGTGCGGTCAGAGCTCAGACAACTAGAAATGGCTGGACCACCTCTTGGCATGCTACTCTGACAGTACTGGTATCTCAAGACTTCAGGGCCCTCATCTGGATGTTGCTGCCTTAGATGACGGCATTTTCAGATTCAGGCGGACACGGTCTTTGGTCTTTTCTGGGTTGTCGTTCTTTGCCATCTCATCTTCTTTCATTCACACTGACCATTTGCTTCTCCAGTAAATACTCCTTTATCCTCCTGGAGGGAGTTTCCTAATTCTTCTGTTGACATTTCCTCCATGTATGAAAATCTCTCCTCTCACCTCTGCCCTGTGGTCATTTTTGTTCTCTTCCTTCCAAGAAAAGGGTCTCAACTTGCCCATCTTTCCTTTCCTTGTGCAAAAACACGTCTGTGTGATTGAAATGACTTAGGGGGCAATTCACAGACACAGTGAATGTTGAACAAATTTAGACACTAAATCAGGCGAACTTTTGGATGATTTTGCTATGG